GGGAAAAAAGAAGAGGGGGAAAAAATAAGAAGAAGAAAGTAGTAGGTACGGTCAAGAGTCGAATGGCAAGGTAGTAGTAAAGGAAAGTAACGTGAGCCCGTAAAAGAGAATCAATTCGATTCCCAAGTCGTCGTAGTAGTCCCCTCTCGCCCTCTCGCTCTTTCACTATCTCCTCCTCTTACTTTTCCTCTTTCTCTTTCTCTCCTTCCTCCTCTTCCTCCTCCTCCTCCTCCTCCTCCTCCTTCTCCTCTTCGTCTTCCTTTTTTCTCGACTATCTCGTATCTTTTCCTCGCCTTCTTCGTCCACCCTCTCTTCCGACTGAGCACACGACTGGTTTTCCTCACTCCACTAAACGAAAGAGAGAGAGAGAGAGAGAGAGAGATGAAGAAAGAAAAAGAGGAAGAAATTCAGGCTCTCCCTCATCCTCTCTCCGTACGTTCCTTCTTTCCGTGCAACAAGTGCGCCTCGGCTCGCATCTTTAAGAAAGCTGCTGGCCGCCGACCCTCCCCCTCGTTCAAGACGCCGCCACCATTCTACGCCCAGATCCTCTCTCTCTCTCTCTCTCTCTCTCTCTCTTTTTTTTCTTATTTTTTTTTCTTACTCTTTCTTAGTCCGATCCTTACTTTTATCCTTCTCATCCTTCTCCTTCTTCTTCACTTTCCACATTTTCTTCTCACTCCTTCTCCTCCTTCTTCTCTTCATTCTCCTTTTCCTCTTTCTTTTCTTCATTCTCCTCCTCCTCCTTTTTCTTCTTCTTCTTCTTCTTCTTCTTCTTCATCTCTTTCTCTAGCCAATAGCCACTGGCCAATCCACAACTATCTTCTAAATCACTCCCGGTACTCTTTACTTTTCAGTCACTCTTTCTTTCCTCTCTCTCTCTCTCTCTCTCTCTGTCTCTGTCTACCCTCTCTCCTCCTTGTCTTCATCTTCCTTTCTTTTTCCCACTCTTTCTGACTTCCTTCCTTACTACTTTCAACGATCCTCCCGACTTCCAAATCGATTTGAATTTTCTACTTTTCTCTCTATCTATCTATCTATTTACCTGACTATGGCTCTCTCTCTCTCTCTCTCTCTCTTTCTCTTACTTTGCCCTTTTTTTTTTTTTTATTTCTCGCTGCTTTTTATTCGATGGAAAGACAGCTTGGAGGATAGAAAGGGAGGAGGAGAAAGAGGAGGATTCATACATATGTGCATACGGCGTGAGCTCGTTCGGGCGAAGAGGAAAAGTGCCGATGGAACTTTCGAAAGAGGTCGGAGGTAACACACCTTCCTCTTATTTCTTTCTTTCTTTCTTTCCTTCTTTCTTCTTCTCCTTTTTTCTTTTTCTCTTTCATTCCCTTTCTTTCTTCTCTTTCTCTCGATGAAAAGCCGGACTGCGAGTGATTCCGAAAGGAACAAAAAAAAAAAAAAAGAAAAAAAAACGAAAAGAAAAAAAGAAAGAAGAAAGAAAGAGAGAAAGAAAGAAAGAAAGAATTCCCTTGTATACGATTTCCTCGAAAAAAAGGGTAGGGGAGAGAAATGTAGAAAAAGAAAAAGAGGAAATATAGAAGAGCCTCGTTGAAATGCCTGGCATTTTTCAGCTCAAAGGGATGACTTCTTCATTTTCTTTTTTTTTTTCTTTTCTTTTCTTTTTTTTTTTTTTTGCAAACCCACCTCCCAATCCCTTTCGTATTTCAATGCCCTTATCACTTCGCTACAATTCTCCCATTTCTTTCGATGATTGTTACGAAGGCAAGGAAGCAGATATATCCTATGAACTATAATAGCAAATTCTCTTCTACTATGATGATGTTTAACGATGATGATAATAATAGTGATCTACGGTACCTACATACACGTATATACGTATATATATATATATATATATATATATATATATATATACACGCATATCGAAATTAAGATCTACGACGAAAAAATAAATGGAAATTTTATGATTATGATAAAGTCGGTTAATGAAACGATTGAAACGAGAATGGAGACGGAAATTAAAGAGGTTCAGGCGTACGTTGACATAATCGAGTGAGCGAGTGAGTAAATTAAAATATGTACGTGTGTGTATGTGTGTGTGTGTGTGAGAGAGAGAGAGAGAGAGAGAAAAAGAGAGAGACAGAGAGAGAGAGGATATCGTCTCTTCTTGAAAAGGAAAGAGAGAGAGAGAGAATATCATCTCTTCGAAAAAAAGAGATAGGAAGTGAGAGAAAGAGAGAGAGAGAGAGAGAGAGAGAGGAAGGGAAAGGGGAAAAAGGGTTCGATTGTCATTCGACGAAACGCGTGAAATTTATCGGCGGTTTAATGCCCTTCGGGACGTTTATAGGGGCGCAATAAATAAAAGCCGATCGGTGTTACGGCAACGATCGGTCGAGAGGGTGTGAGAAAGAAGAGGGAGAGGTTTAACGGGAATGAGAGAAAAAGAGAAAGAGATATATATATATATATAGAGAGAGAGAGAAAAAGAAAGAGAGGTACATGCACGCGCGTACCCACGCTCTATCCCTCCATCCCTCTATCCCTCTATATGTCGTCGTATCGAAAGAAGCATCGAAAACGAGTCCTCTTCGACTTTGTCCGCTTGAACCTCGTTCGATTCGAT